TTAAAGTTAAATGAAATTTAAAATTCAATTCTCACTTGTACTAGCCACAATTCAAGAACTCAATAGCCATAGCACAGCAATTGCCTAGCAGTTACCATGCGAACAGTACATTTTGCAGAAAGTTCTATTGGACAGCGCTGGTCTATTATGTTGTCTCCTCAGTAAAAGTGATTTATTTAACAAAAGTGTTTTGGATACCTGCTATATGCTTGATGCCATGGGAATTCATTACAGTAGATTAAAAGGAATAAAACAAAACATGGTTAATCTCCTAAAAAGCAACATTTGGGCATTGGGGAGATTAACACATATAACCAAGTATTTTCAATCCATTGTGAGAAGAATTATAATATTTGTATATTCAGTGACTGAAGTATTAAGACAGACTTCTTGGAGAATATGTCTTTTAAACTGCGTTTTAAAGATAAATAGGAAATTTACTACAAAAATGAGGGGTGAGAGCATTTTAAGTAGAACATATAATTTTTGCAAAGACAGAGAAGGATGAGTATTTGGAGGATGACAATTAATTCCATGTAGCTGATGACTAGAAGAGTAAATATGAGCTATGATTGGAATGCCAGGTTAGGGCTTACTAGAAGAATCTTTTCCTCGCTCTGAGTGTAGTTATCTTTATCCTGTCAATTCCGGAGAAGCATGGAAGGGTTTTAAGCAGCAAATTATGGGATTAAAGTTCATTTTGTAGATTACTCTGTTGATGTCGCATGAAAATTGGATTAAAGGGGCAGATGCAGGAGAATAGCAGCACTTTATACCCAGTTATTCAGCACAGAAAGCAGGCATCATCCTTGACCGCTTCATCTCCTTCCTTGCCTACATCATTTCACCTACCTTCTAAATTTACCTTGTGGCTACCAGTTTTCCTCACGTTTAGTCAAACCATCCTACCTAAAGCTAAAGCCACTGTGGTTTCAGGGCTGAAACACTGCATTACTCTCCTTGACGGTTTTACCCACTTATTCTACCTACTGAAGGCAAACTCATCTTGTTAAAATTAAAAATCAAATCATGTCAGTTCTCCATTTAGAGCTCTTTGGTGGCTGCTCACGCTGCCCTGCAGGCTCTAATCTAAACCTGTCTCTTTAGGCCATCAAGACACACTCCTCCTCACTCTTCTCCTTCCAGCCCTGCGGGCCCTGATGCCCCAAACTCTTCCCTGCTTCAGGAACTTTGCACACTGTTCCCTCTGCCTGGAGCACATATTGTACCTCCCATCGCCAGGCTCAACGAAATCTCACTTCCTCCAGAAAGTCTTCCTTGATTCTTCAGATTTTAGATTGAAACATCCCCCACACTGTACTTATTGTTTGAAGTCCTTATCATAATTGTATTCAAGTGATTGTGTATTTAATTTTTGACCTCTGTCTTCTCCCTTTGACTGAGATAACCAGGAGACAGAGACTGTTTTTCTCATGCACCATTGGTTCTCTCTAAAACAGCCTTGCACATGCTCAGTAGATGCATGAATGAACCAATGAAGTTGTTTCCCTAGTGTAAATGGGCCAGGATGAATGGCTAAATAAGTGGTGGAAGTAAAAGGAAATCTTTTTGAAGGTTAAGAAGAAGAGAAAGATGAGTAGAAGATGGATCTGATGGTTTTAGTTACTGGGACAAGACTGTGGTATTATTCACAGAGTTAGGAAATACAAGGAGAGGAAACAAGCAGCATTATGGGTGAAAATGATGGGAGCAGAAGTGTGGGCAGCTTGACTTTGAGGTTTCTTTGGAATAGCCAAGTAAAAAATGCCACTCAGCAGTTGTCTATGTCAGTCTAAAACTCAAGAAAGACATCCGAACCGAAGAAACATGTACGGTCAGCCTTCCACATCCATGGGCTCGACATCCGTGTATTCAACCAACCACAAATTAAAAATATGCAGGAAAAAAAATTGTTCCTGTATTGAACATGTACAGACTTTTTTCTTGTGATTATTCAGTAAACAATACAGCATAATAACAATTTGCATAGCATTTACATTGGATCAGGTATTATAAATAATCTGGGGATGATTTAAAGGTATAGTTGCCCCTTGGTTCCAGGACCACCACATAAAAAAAAAAAAAATCTGCACATACTCGAGTCCCACAATCAGCCATGCGGAACCTGTGTATAGGACAAGGACAAGTCACTCCTTTGTGTACATGGTTTTGTATTCCATGAATACTGTATTTTCGATCAGAGTTTGAAAAAATTCCACATATAAGTGGACATGTGCAGTTCAAACCTGTGTTGTTCAAGGGTCAGATGTATATGGGAGGGTGTGAGTAGATTACATGCAGATACAAAGTGGCATACATTTTATATCAGGGACTTCAGCATCCACAGACTTGGTATCCATGGGAGGCCCTGGAACCAATACCTGATGGATATGGAGGGATGACTGGATATATTTCAAGTACATAGCTGGAGATAGACAATATGTGTCCAGCCATGACTGCTGTATAGCAAGCAAGAATGTGGGGATCAGAAACTAACTGACTGTATTCTTATTGTGGCTGCAGCATTTCCTAACTTTTCCTCTTTTCCACTGCTTCCTCTTTCTCGCTGCTTGGCATTTATCTGGGCACCACTGCTTTCACTGCTTTCACTGCACTCACCACTGTCTGGTATCTGGGCTTTGCTTTTCTTCCTGACGCTGTTGCCCTCCCTCTCATGAGACCCTTCTGTGGGCCCCCGTGGCCACCTGGTGGGAGACTGGAGGGGGCAGCAGTGCTGGGAGCACATGCTTCCCACGGTGTAGGGGACACAACAGGCAGTGAAGTAGCCCCCGGCTTGCTAACATCTGCACCCAGTATGGGAGTGGTGGTTATGGGCACTGGGCTAGTGTTGGCTGCTGTGTCCCTTAATTATTTCTCTGTTGTTTCTGTTCTTGAGATATTGGGGAAGGGAGTCCTGCACAGAGGCTGCCCCCACTCTCACTGGAGTTGTACATTTGTTTGTGATAATTTTTTTAAAATGTATGGTGTGTAATGACTCCAATCCTATTCATCACCACCATTCCCAGGCCAGACTCAGTGACAAATCCAGTTTTTGTGTCCCAGGCCATGCTAACTTTAGCCCAGCGTACCTGGACCTATTTAACAGCCCAGGTACTTTCATGGGGCCAAGAGGGCCTGGCTTGGCTCCCAAGGTAGAGGGGCTGGGACACCCTGTCAAGGTGACTCCTTCCCACTCAGTGTGCCCCACCATAACTTTACATGACTTGAATGTAATCTAATGAGTTAATAAATTCTAAAGTAGAATTAGTATCAGTAAGGTGATAATTACTATGCATTAAATACTACATTATTCTCAAAGGAAGACATTTCTCCCAGGAAGTCACAATCATATATTTAGTTAGGTACTTCTTATTTTCTAGGTCCTCATTTATTTATCAAGATATTGATATAGTCATATATTCATGCATTTATTCATTCAATTTTAAGTAACTTCTGTGTGCCTGACACACCATTAGGTGCAAGTGACACCAAGATGAGAAAACCTAAACAAGATCCCTGGCAATTAGTGAAAACAAACATAAGAAAATATAAATGGGGATGCTGTGTGAAAAGCACAATAGTAGATGTGTCTAGAGAAGGGACTAATATTCTTTCATATAGGAGCCAGCTGTCAGTTTTAACACAGTAGAGATAGACCTCATGCTTTCACAACTCTTTTACATTTCATTATAATATTTCTGTTATATATCTGTTATTCCTGAAATCCCTTTTAACATTTTTGCTCAATAATGAAACTGAGATTTTTGAAAATAATAAGATAAAATGATCAAATCAGCTTATTTTTATATAATGTAGCATGACTGGCATAATTTTTCTTAGTTGAAGAATAAAAAGTTACCTAGTTTTTCCCTTTATGTTATTTATTCATAACATTTACAGTTGATATGTCTAATATGGCTTTTGGCTTATTGGAAATCACTTTATTGTATAACATGCTAAAACATCATTTATATTGGAAATATTTTTGATTGACATTCTTGAATGTGTTTAATTTATAGGCAAATCCAAATGACTTTTATAAAAAGCCTACAAAGTAAGCAGTTTAAAAAGAAACTACAATTATGTGAATATTTTGTAGATAATAAATGAAACCTGGTAGGTTTTTTTTTATTTTTATGTCGCTAACATTTCAGTAAACAATATACTTTAAAGAAAATGAAAGAGCTCTGCAGAGATATGCATTTGAGGATTGTTTATTGCCAGTATTTAAGAAAAAACACTACTGACATTCAAGTCCCTCTGTTTTAAATTGCAGCACCTTATGAAATATGCCCAGAGGATTATCTGATGTCGATGGTGTGGAAAAGAACTCCAGCAGGCGACTTGGCATTCAATCAGTGTCCCCTGAATGCCACAGGTACAGTAGGATGACCCACCCCAAGCCTAAATGATCACTACCCAAGAACAGCATGCGGTGATTGCTTCTGAAGTCATGCTTTTGTCCTTTATCCATAAATAAATCTGCCCACTAAGCAATTAATGAAATAATTTTAGTAAAGTGCTTCATAAATGGAGCCAATGAAGAGACCTAGCCTATGAAGAAAATACTGCCGATGCAATGGTTTCTCTGCATGACTAATATGCATTATAAAAATACTCGAAATGACAATTTCATGTGCATGTTTTTTAAAGCAAAAAAAAGTGCAGACTCAATTTCAGCCTGCCTCCCAGTTCTGCGATGCCTTCAAGCATCCCTGTTATAAAGCTTCTCTCTGTTCTTTGTGACGTGCAGGCACCACTAGCAGACGCTGCTCTCTCAGTCTTCATGGAGTGGCCTTCTGGGAACAGCCGAGCTTTGCAAGATGCATATCAAATGAGTACAGACACTTGCAGCATTCAGTAGGTGCAAAGCCAGCTTTAGTACTTGCTCTGTTTATTTTTTGCTAATAATCACTGTTTGAGAATTTAACCTTCTGCTGTACAATCAAGCCAGTAGAATCTCTGAAAAAATGCTTGAAGGAAAAAGGGATGTGACAGAAAACTAATTTTCATAAGTCAGTGCTAGATGGTTTGGTTCCTAAGGCTTGCATTTTTATGGATCTTGCTATTTAAGTGAAAGAATTCCTTGTCTAATGGGGG